AGCAAGTTGTACTTTGTTTCCAGGTTCCCTAATTCTGTGTGTTTTTCTTCACTGGAGATCCTGTTGGTAGAGTTTACCTGTCACTAGTCTTTTTAGCACTTTAGCTGTGGTTTTGCCAACCCACTTTTCCACCGTGTTCCCCACATTTTCTGGTCCTGGTGCCCTGTAGAAGATTTTCCTTAAAAAGAGTTTCTGAGTTGTTTTTTGTTTGTTTGTTTTAATTAACTCTTAAACTTCCTATCTAGAATTTTAAACAACTTTTAAAATATTTCTTAAGTTTGCACCAACAGTCAAGAAGGGGCTAAGTGTGATGTATTCTAGGGTCACCTCCCTCAGGTTAGAGATAGCAGCAGACATCTGAGCCAGGTGGGACAGATCAAAATCTAATCCTCCCCAAGAATCAACAAAATCTCAGCCAGCCCTCACAGGAGAGAGATGCACCTGAACCTGAAAGTCCCAGCAAAGGGGAACCCTGGGGGGAGCTGGGGATGGGGGTGTAGTAATGCAAAACCAGGACAGAGTCGGGGTGCGCCAGGTCGGGCCAGGCGGTCTGCAGGTAATCAGTGAGGCTGAGGATTCGGACAGCCTACCTAGGCAGTTTTGTCAACTCTCTAGGCCCCAGCTTCATCTCTAAAATGATGAGCATAGTGAATCTCCCTGCAGTGGTTATGAGGAGTTTATGTATATGCAGTTTAGAATAGTGTCTGTGCTTTGTAATGAGATATAGGGTCTGTCACTTTTAATTTAAGTTACAGACATTAAAAGTCATGGCGACAAAGCCCGAGGGAAAGTGGCTTCATGTAGGAGAGCAATTAGAAAGGCAGGAAGGGGCAGAGAGGGGGTGTAGCCAAGAGCCACACGAAGCCGGCACCCAGGAACACACATGAAGCCCGGGCTGGCACCCCAACACACCTGCCTGAGCCCCACCACCTGGGAACCTCCAGATGGAGCACGTCCAGCACATCCTGAAGTCCAGGGTGTCCCGAAAGGGCCTGTTGCATTGTGCTGACTTCATTGATGTTTTTTGGGTAAGGGGGAAGCATCACATGTAGGGTGCCCCTAACTTGGAAATACCAGCAATCCCTGGCAGAGCGGGACAGGCTGTTTGCTCCTGTGGTGGGGGCTTTTTGCACCTAATTTTGTTTCCCAAATGGAGGGAGGCGGTCACCCTCGTCATTTCGGTCATTTGCTAGCCCTTTGGTCACCTGGGAGCCTCCTTGGGTAGCACTGCAGGTGTGTGATGACTTTCCCGCCCACATCTGAGCAGCACTTGGCTCCGTGGCAGAAGCATCAGCATAATTCCTGCCTGTGGATGGTTGGAAAGCAAGTTGCTGGCTTCTGTGGGCTCCTCACCTCTGTGGCAAGTAATCTGCCTTCCAAAAAATTCTGTGAAGTTTTCTCTTAATGTGCCTTTAATTTCTGCTTTTGAAAATTTTTCTTTGAAACTCAGAGCTCAAAGGTTTATTTAAGAAGTAAATGTTGAAAATTAGTCTTTTTTTAAGTTGAACTGATACTTACTCTGCCCAGCCCATAGCGTTGGTTCAGCTCTATACCCAACTCTGTGAGCGGGGTTCAGCTCATCGCACTTAATGAACTCGTGGACACTGGCATCTCACTGGTTGGTTGGGCAAGTCTGGCCACCAGGTCTTTGAGCTTGAAGCTGGGTTTGATCTTCTTGGAGAAATAGCATTTCTAGGGGGCAGGTCACCTGGTGATGCTGCTGTAAGAACCTGAATATGTCTCATTTACATCCCGTAAGAAAGGAGGCCTCATTGTTTCTTTTAATCATGCTGAGATTATCAAGGGAATTATAATGCAGGCTTGAGGTCCTGGGGCTCTCCCCAAGTATTTAGGGGCCCTGAGGCTGCTGGTGCTGTGGGAGCCCCGGCATGTGTGCCTGCCTGCATCACGTTGCAGTGTGCTCTCTGGAGATTACATATTACTAGAAAAAGAACGTTTAAAATAGAATAAATATTGAACAAAACTGTATGAGTGGGCTGCAGGAATTAAAAGTGGAGAGACCGCCTAAGATTTTTCTTAAGGGGTTCTGTTGCTCCCTCCTCACCGCCCCACCCCAGCCTGGTCCTGGTGGGACAGTACAGGCCTGCTCCACCCCGCCCCCAGAAGGAGCCACCATGTGTCCTGACAGGGGTCTCCCACCGCCTCGGCCACGCCAGCTTGCTTGTGGAGGACAGCAGATCAGACACCCCAGACTGGGGTGGCCATGCGGAAACTTGTAGAGCTTGTTAGAAATTCACGTCAGAGGGCCTTTCTAAGTTAGCACCTCAGGGAGGGATTTGAGCCAAACGAGGTCTCAGAATTCGCTGTACTCATTGGGGCCTGAGGCACAGAGGTTGTGGAGTTCCTGATCATTCGTAGGGTAAATGGGCACTTTTATACCCTTTTGCCACTAGCGTGGATGCCCAGGGTTGGGTGCTAGGACTCGGGCATGTGCACCTTTGATTGTGGACACCTGGGCCCAGAGAGCACAGGCGTGCGCATGTGTAAAAGCTCACACCTGTGACGACTGGCCAGGCTAAAAGGGCGGCGTCAGTACGGGGCCCACCCTGCCGCGAGGACCACTCAGGCGAGACAACGCGAGACAAGTAAAGCCCAGTGATTCGTGGGGGCGTGGGGGGGCCCGTTTGCCTCCTTGCGTGCCAGCCTCCCGACCTGATGTGCCTGGCTCCCTGAAAGAGCACTAAAGCCTGAAACGTCCCCCCGAGGTCTCTGGGCTTCCCTTCCATCTGCCCAAATGGACAGTGCCCATGCTCTGGGCGTGCTGGCATTGGCTCGTTATTTCTGCTGTGGCTACCAGCAGCGCAGTTCTGTGTTGACAACCCACGGCCTCCAGATACCCCTGGCGTTAGGCGCAGCCCTGAGCGGGCAGGGACCGCAGGCGGGAAGGAGGTTGTGAGCCTCCCCCAAGGCGTTTCAGGGGAGAAGGCCGCAGACAGAGCCCCCTCACGCCAGGAAGCCCCTCCGGGGAGCTCTGCAGACATCAAGGGGCTCCGAACCCTTGATCAAAATCCATTGCCTTTCCTCCCCAGGTGAAATGCTAGAGAAGCAGTGCTGGAAGATTCTGAGGCAAGCTGGGGAACTTTCCTCCTCATGTTCTAGCTTAGTTAAATGTATGTGGCTTTTAATTTCTTAGTTAATTATTAAGTCAGAAAATAGATTCACCTCCTTTCTCTACTTTCCTTTCTCCTAAAAAGACATTTTCAAAGGTCTCATGAGTTTTAAATGACAACTAGTCTGCAGTGAGTCGGGGCTGAGGCGGCTGTGTCTTGTGGGGCTGGTTTACATCAGAGACAGGTGATGAAGCAGGCTCGTGACAGGAAAGGTAGCAGACACGGAAAACAGCTTCTGGGGAGCCGCCCCCGTGGCGTGGTGAGGCTGCTGCTCCAGGTGCAGCAAATAAGCCGACTCTACCCCAGTCAGGCCGAAGAAGGTTGCGTGAACACGCCAGCTGAGGTCGTTTGGGCAGGCCGGTTCAGCCGCGCTCACTCGCTCACGTGCGCGCCCACCCTGCTCCAGGTGGCTGCACCCCGGGGTGGGAGCCTGTCCCCGTCAGAGCCTTCCCCCATTCCTTGTGGGAGATGGAGAGCCAGGCAGGCGCCTCCCTTACCCAGAGAGGGGTCGGGGTCGGCCTCGGAAGCCACCTCTAGCTGCCCTGTGCAAGACAGACCAGGCTCAGAAGGGATGAGCGACGCGCCAGGTAAACTGGGTCTTGTGAGATCTCGAGGACTCCTAAGGCAGGAGACGGCGAGCAGGAGCCCGAGGCTTTTGCAGCATGTGCAGGGACCCGCAGAACGTGCTGGCTTCCAGCCAGAAGTGCAGCTAAATACTCAGACATAAATAGGGGAGCAATTTGCACCTCACAGGGAGCCTCAAAGCCTCCTTTTGGATCAAAACCAAC